TCTTAGACTTTTGAATTTTTTCGAGTTCTTTATCACGTGTTATGCTTGTTATATCAGATATATATGGAACTGGCCCAATTCTGGCATGAATGAATCTGCTTCAGGTTGGAGGCAAACCATCTTCTTGTGGAAGTACCATGTTGGCCAATCTCCAACTACTGGAAGGACATTTGAATTCTTGTAAGTACAAAGTTCTGGTACAGCTTGGGACATAAATTCATGGGTGTTCTTATAGTCATCTAGACTGTGGAGATCTTGCTTAATTTCATCAATAAGGACAGTAGATTTCAGTTTCTGGTATTCATGTTCCTCCTCTCTTCCATAAACTCTGGGAATGAAAAGCTACACACTAGTTATTTCTACAAATGCACTTGGTCCTGGTATTTGTGTACCTTAGCTCTCTTAGTGACTTTTGTAGTAATCCTGGATTAATTCTGTGGTAGTTATCTGGGACGCTTTCAAGAAATGACTTGGTGCATTAATGATGCCAAAATTCTTCAAATTCTTTTGCTACAGCATCGCCACTTATTCCTCCCTTGCAATTTTGTTCTTCTTTCCCAGGGACCTTGATTTTGACATTTCTATGAGAATTTTCAGATAACTTGACTGGGATATGGTTCTGAAGATCCATATAGTGGCCATATGAACAGCATTGGATAGTTGTCGTCCTTGTGGTGTCTTAACAACATTGATATTGTGGAAGTCATCAATCATTAGGATCAGAAAATTGCCCTTCAAATAAAACGTAAGTGTCAAGAATCGACTAGTATGCAGTGTGTGGAAGTTGGATTTCAACTCAGTAAAGGCCACACTTAGTAAAAATAATTCAACAGCAATAGCTGGCGGACAATTTGAATATGTAGGTTAATTTGTATGGTTTGGCTTGGTACCTTTTTGTTTTTAAAAAAACTTAATTTGTCTTGGACTCTTTTTTATGTGAGTTGATGATATTTCATGTTTTTTCATGGTTTTGGTCTTAGGGTGTCTTGCATATCCAAGGACCATACCAGCTGACATTCCAGTTGATGTCAGGCCATGTCTCATCATGAAAATAGCCATGTCTTTGATTTCTATCAAAGATATCATAATTATTAAAATTTGAACAGCTTTTCTTTTTATCAGTAAATCTCATTCAGGAAGAAATGCAAATTTTCAAGTCATATTTTAAAAATTAGTAAGATGCTTGATATGGAGTTCTGTTAAGACAAACAACAAAAGTTTTCATGATTTTTCAATGAATACCTGAAGTATAAAAGGTCCCATATAAGAGATGTTACTCTTTTTTCCTGCATTTGAATTTTTTTCAAACCTTCTCTTTCATTTGATATGGAACTTAGTAAAGTGTTATATACGTTTGGTGCATGGGTCAGAACAAATCCTTTCATATTCTCGTTGCCAACCAAGCGTTGCTTATCTTTCTCCTTTTCGAGTGATTTTCCAAGTTTATTTAAACTATCCTCGAATGATGGTACTGTATAGAATAAAAAGTAAAAAAACCCTCACTATTGTTTTGGTATATTATTTTGAAACTCTCTACTGTATTATGCCATATATACCATTAAGTTTTGCTTGTATATTTTGTCATGTTGTCTTCTCCATCATTACATCCTCCTCTGATCCAACTAAGATTTCCCCATTTCTTGATTGAGCCAGGCTCCAATATCTTATGTTGTCAATCTTTTCAGAACAATATTCAAACAATCAAATAGGCTATTGGCATTGTGCTTAATTTACATGCGTGTGTAAAATTTGCATGCGAAATCATATATATATTGAAAATAATTTTATAATTAATTAATTTGTTGTTTTTATCACAGGATATGAGGCAGCGATCAGCTTAKAAGGCAGGATAAGTTGGAAGATAGTCGTTCGAAGTCTTCGTAGAAGAATCAAATGAAATAGAGTAAACTTGTCGTAAATTAATGATTTATAAAAAACTCCTTCTGGTTCGCTTATATATCAACAAATTGTCACGCAATGGAATTACTRCAGTTCATATTTTGAATTGAACAATGTAAACTCCAATTTAAAATGAAGTACAGTATTAACAGCATTRAAATATATGCAAAACAGCTAGGCAATAGTGTACTTAGAATATGGAAATAGTTTAATTAGAAGGTAYAAAATTCTTGTTACAGAATAAAYATTAGAGCAATTTTATTTAATCCGTGAAACAAAAACTGAATAGTTTTTAACAATTAGTCACTATTTTGTAATCAAATTAAGAAAACGCGTTTAAGAATCTTTATTTATTTTCGCGGCTGCATGCAAAAACAACATACATCTAAATCTAAAAC